CAGAGTATAAAAGTTGTTTCAGTCGATAGTAATCCAGTGTTATACAGCATATATGATTATTCATGAATGTTGACATGACTCAAGAGTATGGTGTCCATGACATTGGTAATGCAATCAAAGATACGATAGTTATTCAGGTTTAAGGGTAGCTGATCAAGCCATGCATAGTGTAGATCTTGATGCTGCATAATCATTTAAGATGTAATCTTTTTAAGCTGTATTCGACACTTGGATTCATGCTGTGTCCAGTTATGATCTGAGCATTGGCTGCCTTATACTTGCCAATTTGAAACAACCGGGAATCAGGGTCAAACTGTTCAACATATTGCGCAAAGGAAACCTAATACATGCCAGACAGTTTGTGGATCCATTTTGCTTTCGAGTCAATACATGTTATACAATGGCTGTTTTAAACACCATTATTGCCATCCAAACACATTGCTCACAAACAGCAAATCAATTGCATGATAACCCTGACCAAACAGAATTCATAGGGTTGGCACTCATCAACCCAAAATAGCATATCTGGCCAAGTAACCAGTTCAAAAATACAAACCAAACAGCAGAATTGAGCAAGATACTTGACAACCATTTACTAAAAAGCAAATTATGATGATTGGATAGTGTATGGATAAATACAGCACATTTTGTTACGTTCAATTATTCGACATAACTGACATATAACATACACAGCCATAGTGGTATACAAGCAATCCATTAACATGCAAGCTGTGCAATTGCGATGGTTGAAATGCTGTTGAACAGACCTATGTAAGCACCACACGCCAGACCCAAGACTGAATGAGCATAAAGCTGTTGGCAGTGCTGCAGCCGACAAGTGATTATCTATTGACAAGCCAATATGTTCTGTATATTTGATATACGGACTGGCATAATTCACAAATGTATGAATTGTGTTATTTATTAAGTGAGAGAAGATCGTGTCTTTTATAAGATGAGAAAGCTAAGAAAGGTATGAGGACACACTTCAAACATCATTGTTTACGGTTTCTAAGCACTATGTCATCCATCTGTGGTGCCTACGCTTACGTACCACAAACATAGAAGCCATACAAATATACACACAAATAATGTATGACAATAGATGCGCCTCTCAGCTGTCTGAGTTTCATTACAAAGGTCACGCATTACCAATGTATAACATAAAGCCGTTGGCAATGCTGTAGCCGACAAGCGACTATCTATTGACAAGCCAATATGTTCTGTATATTTGATATATGGACTGGCATAATTGACAAATGTCAATACACCATTAGTCATCATATTGATTGAACTGGATTCACAGCAGTTTGAGCTGGATGTTGTGTTGGATAGTAAAATACAATTGACATGGCATGTGTGGTAATATGGATAAATTGGTTAATCTACAAATTCGTTGCTTTATTTGTTCTAAATATATACCTCGATTTCGTTATCTTGCTCGATATCAAGCATTTTAATAAAATCAAAGCATATAGATGCAAAAATACCAAGCATTAGTATTGCCAGTCAAAACCATCAAGGTATAAAAATGAGTCGTCAGTCACTATCAAACATCATCAGACTGCTACAAATCAACAACTCAATCCGTATAGTATTGATACGCTTGCCAAATACAGTTCAGTAGTATAGTGCAGCCACGATGAAGTTTTTACTACTAGCCATTGCTTCTGTTGCGTTCGTTGTCAATGCTCAAGGAAATAAATCTGGTATGCAAATCTGTTGATCAGTCTATTTTATGCTGGGTTTATCAATGTTTGGATTGTGCAATCGTTCAAAACTGTACTAATTGACGTACATTATAGAATCCATGCCTGAATGGGCCTTTATCAAGGAACATCGTGACGCTGGCAGATTTGTTTTTATGCCATACACTGACGAACAACGAAACGTCGTGCTGACCAATGTTGAAAATGGTTTGAAATTGTGGTCCAACTATGAATCTAAAATCGAAAACTATGGTGAGCGTGCCGATCCCTTCCCGATCATCAAGAAACTGCGTGCAAAACTGGATGCATCCAATCTTACTGACACTGAGATGCAGACTGAACTCATGAATGCGTTCATTCTTGCACGTGACCATCATACTAATTTTGAGCCATCTGGACCATATTCTTGTTTCAGTGCCACAACTGGTCTTTCTTTCAAATTTATCGAGGGCGATGCAGATATGGTCAACAAACCAACCGTCGTTTTTGAAAGATTCACAAAGAATCAAGAGTTGCGTGCTTTTTTTGGAAAGGACTATGACCAAATCAAAGTTGGCGACGAATTACTACTTGTTGATGGTATGACGTTTGTTGACTATCGGAACTTGAACCAGGATAAAACAGGTGGTGCCAATGATTATGGTGGTCAGCATGGTGCTCTTGACTACATGACGTTTCGTCCTGGCTCCTTTACTCCTTTGCCAGAAACTGATACGATCAAATATCGGCTCAAATCAAAAGATACTGGAAAAGTGTACGACATTGAAGCTCCGTGGGTGGTTGGTTTTGAGCCATCATGCTGGAGTATTACTAGTCAATTGTATGCCAAAATTTCTGGAAAAACTCTACCTGGAACACCTCAGCCTACCAACTCTAGCAGTATAATTGACGCTGGCGTTGATGTTTCCGATACTGGAGCCAAACCTCAACTCGAAACTCAGAAAGAAGTCAAGACTCCATCGATGGTATCCCAGTACCATTATAAAAAGCAAAAAATTAATCAGATTTTACTTGAACAGCCATCAAAAAATAATGATCTCGAGTACCAAAACGCCAGCGTGTCTACCATCAGCTGGACCATCTGGAAACCCGAATCCAAGAATCTTGGTATTATTAGATTGGAGGATTTTGCGCCAACAAATCTTAAAACTGGTGCACCAGCAAATATGGAGGCTGTTTGTGAAATCCACAGACTTCTGAGCACTGTGCTCAAAGACACCGATGCTGTTGTATTTGATATCCGTGCAAATGAAGGTGGTAGTGGTGAGTTTGCCAATGCCATTCCACAACTTTTCAAACCTGATTTTCAACCGATGCCAATGAGATACTTGATGAGTTCTGTCGCATACAACACTCTGGTTAACGGCACATTCTTTGTTGACACTTCTGGTCCAGCATGGTACAAGACTCCACCTGGTAGCAAGTATTCTGTGAATTTTGACAAAACTTCGTTTAATCAGTCAAACTTGTATGGTCAAGCCTATCTCAAACCTGTTGGTATATTCACTGATGCTGTATGCTACTCTGCATGTGATCTGTTTTCAGCGTCTATTCAGTCGTCCGAAACTGGCTATGTTTTTGGTGAAGATGGAACGACTGGAGGTGGTGGTGCCGACACGTTTTCGCTTGATTCACAGCTCCTTTTGTTCAATCCTGTCGATTTTAAGCCAATGCCGTATTACAAAGAACTGACCGACGAAGCAGCTGGTCGAAGCTATGCCAACGTTCTTACAGTCGGAGTTCGACAGATGATACGTAATGGAAAACAGCAAGGCCAATTGATCGAAGATACCGGTGTCGTATCCGAATACATTGTACGTCCCCGTTTGACGGATCTATTGTCTGGATCCACTGAAAATTCTCAATTTGACCGTATTGCCGATCAACTCAAAACATTGGGTGCCAAAATTGGACTGAACAATCTTTACTTTGTTTCTGAACTTACCAACTATAACACCACTAGCAGTGACGTGACCATTGATGTAGAAGTCAAGGGAATCAATCAACTGTCAGTTATTGATGACACTGGCAAATCACTTTCAGTTGCCGATTTTAAAAGCGACATAAAAAGTCAACACTCGTTCAAACTGGCATCTGTGATCAACGATCTTGGTAATACTCGGGTCAGTATCATTGGCCAAAACAACGGCAAACAGGTTCTCAAAACGCATAAGCACATCAGTCGCACTCCAAAACAAGAAGACCATTTTAAACTTGAACATGGTGTCAAATGGGAGTTTAATGGTACCAGTAAATCGGTTGGAATATACAACTCGCCATTTACCAAAAAGTCACAGGGATGGAACTCGGTCAATGGTAAATGGGTTGTTGGCGACGGAGTACAATACAGTCCTGAAATAACCACTGAGATCCGATCATACTATACTGCACCAGTTGGATCCAACATCACTGTTGAAATTGATGTCGCGCTTGAATCACAACTTTATAGCGACTTTTTAAGCTTGTATGTCACAGATGCGGATGGAAATCAAAAATCGCTTTTGAATACGCTTGGTCCAGATGGTAATATACTTATAGATGGTATTTCTGGCTCCGAAGCAATTGTCAAAAAGTTCCCAGTGACAACCAAGACGGAGCTGTTTTTCGTCGGTTTTGTGTTCAATTCAGACCTTGCTACACAGATAAAAGGAGCAACAATCAATTCTTGGAGTGTTACAATGAGTTGAAATGAGCTGTAAATGATTGTAAATGGGTTGTAAACGTCGCTGAATGTATTATTTATTGCACCATCAGGCTATGTTTGAATAAATATAGTACTTGCATATAACTATCCTATACACTATTGTTTAAATTTATTTCAATCAACACATGTAAACCTTTTATTTAGTCGAGTGAAATATGCAAGTTTCAAACCATTTTTTAAATTGGACTGGTTTTGTCATGGATGGAATATTGCAAGTGTTTTTAAACTTGTCAGATTTTTGTATTTTTTGGTGTTTTAGACATTTGAATGAAAGTTGATATTGGATATTTACCATACCAATCAGAGTTGTCATGGTTGTTTAATGAAACCCAGTACAGATCTGGATAAAACCGCATTTAAACCTGCATTTTCAATGGTCTGATGCGACAAGAAATCATTCGAGTTGATAATGATCATTGCACTATTGTCTTGTTCTTGTTCTTGGACTCTTTCACTGGTTTTTTAGCTTTCATACCCGATCTCGAGTTGATTACTTGATTCGCATTTGGTTGATGATTTCAACTGGTATTTAAAACTATGGTTTGATTGACAGCATCAAAGCAGTTGAGCCAAACATGTGGACTGCAATGGATGAGTTTGGTGATTGTATAATGCATGATTGCTAAAAGTGCACAAAGTATAAATTCAACACTATAGTCTGATTGTGTGTCATATGATGGTTATTGTATATCAAACACACAATGCAGTCAATGTGTAGTAACTATTGTATATTGCAGTGCAAATCAAAGTCATTGCAGGATGAATACCGAAGGAATCCATTTGACATGAATATGGTTGTAAAAAGGAGCGTTTGCGGTTACACAACACTCATAAGGGTGTGCTTTTCAATATACCTGATAAAAGGGTCGTAAAAGCATAATTCAATCGACACGATCATCAAATTGATCAATATGATATTGTGATTAGGGAGTAACATACTGTCTAGTTTGATATTGGCTCACTACAAGCAATCAAGTAACCCTGTATATTGGTTAACCTAAAAGGGTTGGTTTGCTATACAAAACATACAAATACAATCGAGTATGTTCAACTTTATAATCAACATCAGTTTCAACACTATAATTTTGTACTAATCGTTGAACAGTCCGATTCT